CTTGATATCTGTTTCTGTTGTTTTTGTTGATGATGATGGTGAGCCGGCTGTAGTCGTATCATTGTTTGATGAAAATCAAGACAGTGTTTCATTGGTTGGGTGATGTTCAACTTTCGTGTTTGACCGGGAAAAACAACGAGGTTTCCTACTATGGATTCGACACCACACTCCGACAACGGGAGCGCATCGACTTCGAGGGCGATATCTTCCGAACCAGAGAGAATGGTGTAGACTATTATTATTATTATTATTATTATTATTATTATTATTATTATTATTATTTAGTGGATTGGTGGACAAGTTGAGGCTTAGGGTTAGTGGCATTATATAAAGTACTCCTTCTAGTTTATTTTTCTTGGTTCATTGTGAATTATATATCGAATGAAACGATGAATTGATTCGTGTTCATATGTTCTTGAGATTGCGATCTCATCAATATCGTTACGCTTCCCTACATCAGTTGTACTAGTTTTATATTATGTAGAAATACTATGACTTAAAAAGGTCAACATGTTCATATTTATCAGGATTATTCAAATTTGATTTCTTTAATATGTACAATTACATTAATTTGACGGTTGAGGTTAATTTCCCACACAATGCAATTATATTCAAAAGATTTTGGGGTCTCTTATTTTTATTTTTAATTAATTATAATTAATTATCAGACACCATCGGCACAGAATTAATAGTGAGCCCAAAATCATCACTGAGATTGTTTTCCACAAGTTTGATTACATAAGTCAAAACATACGCTAATAAGGGATGGATTATGTCATCTCGATTATTTTAATCCGTGCACCAATTTTTATTTTGAATTTGGATATATTATTTTAGGCAAAATTGCAATTTTAGTCATGTTGGTTTGATCAAGTGACGTTTTTAATCTTAAGAATTGAACATTTTTTTTTTTCTATTCGGTCCTATGATTTTAATATTCGACGGAATTTCAGTTATTTGAGACTGAAAATGCAACAAAATTTAAAATTATATAAAATTTTGAGACTAAAAATGTTACAACGTTAAACCAGCAGGACTAAAAATATAATTTTACTATTATTTTATATGAAGAAATAATTGAGGTCTTTAAGAAGCTTAATGGAGTTTGACAAATATTAATCACGAGAGTTAATATAGTTAAGTAATTAATGAAACAAGTACTGAACAACATGTTAGTGGTTCACATGTGTATCACTTCCAAGTTCCAAGGGACATTGGAACATAGTGACCTCAATTTTCACCGACAACACAGACATAACAAATTAAAAAAAAAAAAAATAAATAAAAAAAAAAAAGTGATGGATTATTTATCGTTATTTTTATTAATTATAATGAAGTATGATGCCAATAAGACTGCAACAAAATTGATTTTTTCAATTAGATGACGTATAGTTTTCGTGAGTTTTTAATCATGACTATGATGCCAATTAGCACAACGCTCGTGTATTACACGAGTGCTTACTAAATTTTTTTCTTAAAATTTAAATTAACGAGAAAAAAGTAGTTGAGAATTTAAATAGTTTTATAAAAAAAATATATTATTGTATATGTTAGTATGACACTTGTTACTTGTTCGACTTACATGTGTCATATTATAATAAGTTTTCTAACTTATAATATATAAAAACTTTAAACATAAATATATTATTCGAGAAATAAATTTATTATTTATTAATTTTAATAAATAAATTTATTTATGTTATATATACAACATGGATGTTAAATCGAAGCTCATCAAAAGACGATTAATTTGATATGATATATGGAAAATCGATTGGAAATACAAAAGTTAAAAACTTTTAAAATATGTTTACAATTCAATGGTTATAATATGAAATGATATTAAAATACAATTAATACATGTAAAATGATCATAAATAAATCAACTTATTTATGGTAATCCGAACTTAATTATTTAGGGATTAAAATTAAATTAAAATCTATCAACGCCAAACAATGAACCATGAAATTTTGATACCTAGGATCCCGAAGCATGCGAGCCTGCCACTTAGACTCAGCGCATTCGAGAATTTTATATAGGGGGATTAATATATATATAT